AAAAAAAAAAAAAAAAGAATATACAGTGATTTTTTTCCCAGAGTATCAACGACATCTGTGAAATATGAATTATTCATGCAAGTTCCATGTGGCTCTATAAAAGTACTTTCTCTGCTTAAATTTTAAAAATTTTCAGAAGCTTAGCATTCTGGTGGGAAATCTGCTATACCATGGGAGTTATACTGCTTTGGTTATCTTACACCTCAAATGTGGGCTTCACTGATGGAAAAGAGACCAAGAGTGAACCCCAAACTATTTAACTATATCGAGACTCTTTAGAAAGATCAGAGATGTGCAACTTCACATGTTTGACTAGCAAAAGATTCTTGCATCAATGTGAATGCAATGTATTGGGCTAATGATCAACATTCCAAGGGTCATGAATTTGTTCAATGTTCTTGTTCATAACACACTTATATTTGATACTTGGACCAGCCGCAAAGACTTTAGAGGTAGTTGTTCTTTTCCTTCTTTCTTGTAATGTGCCATTGGTTAATAATCCTTCAGCTTGCATTTGGGAGCAAGGTTCTACACACCGCATCATCCTAGATAGATATTTTGATGTTCTTCCTACTTTCTGTCGTTGTTTAAAAAAATTTCAACCTTCTAGTTTTGCATTGTGCTTTGTGTTTTAACAAAACAAAACTGTAGAGGCATTAGGCTATAGACAGTGTTTTAACTATTTTGAAAATAAGTCTCCAATGGATGAACTCTTAAATATTTTACTTTATTTTGGGAATGTGAGTCCTTTAGATTCTCCACATGTTACGTCCTTCCTTAAATTAAATTATTTTAGTTTAGTAGTGGAAGGGAGTGTTAGAGACATCATGTCCACAGCACTTATTATAGGAATCAAGTGTCTTGTCCAAAGTCATGTTGGTGACCCCTGTCTTCTGATATCTGGTTAAATACTCCACATGTTTTGAGTATTTGTCTGTCTGTCTGTCTGCCTGTCTGCCTATCTATCTACCTATTTATCCGTCTATCTCTCTGTCTTAACTTCACAAGTAGAACATGAATATATTCTTATTTAAAACAATTGAAACAATGCCACAGTATATAAAGCAAAAAGTATAATTTTCTCTTTCCAACTGCCAACTACCATGGCCTTCCTTAGAAATAGTCATTTTTTTAGTTCCTTTCTATGCCATTAAATTCTCTTTATTCTTTATTGTGATTCTTTATAAGTGATTACATTTTTATCATTCCTTACTGGAATTTTTCAGGTAGGTATGTCTAAAACCTTGAAAAGCACAAGTGAATTTATTGACAATGTGTCATTACTGCTCAACACAGAATTTGCATAGAGAGCAATCATTGCTTTCTTTGTTTTATTGAGAGGAAACTAATAGTTTAGGTAACTACGTATGGACCCAAAGTGATTTTGTTTATAACCCAAACATTGATTAATTACATGATAACTCTTGAAAGATGAAAATTAGAATCTATATTATGTCTTAATGTTTTCAAGGTTTTCATGTTTGGCGAAATTCCTGATAATTCTTTTTCAAGTGTTATGCTCACCCATGTCTTTAGTATACATTTTCTTTCTTAATTGGGGAGCTATAATTCACTGAACATGGTAAAGATAAATTTGTATGCAAATACATTATACTGCTAACTACTTAATCTATGTATAATAATTGGAAGTCCCTGGTTATTTCTACTCCTTCTTTGCACTGTTAAAGCCAGGAAAGAGAAAAGGTGTTTTTAAGACTTGAAAATTGCCAGTGATCCCATCTGACATGGCCTGAGTTTGGCAGCATAGTGAAATAAGTAAGGACACGAACTTGGAGGCCAAGGTCAAATCCCAGACAGAGGTCAAATCCCGACTCTTTTGCTTTCAACTTGTGCACCTTGTGCCTCAGTGTTCTCATCTGTGTTAGGGGAATCATAATAATAGTACCTGCAACAAGGAGTTGTGAGATTAATCCATGTGCAGCACTTAGAGTAATGCCTGGCAATTGTAAGAGCTCAGTGACTGTTAGCTGTCATTAATACCAAATTCAGCAATCGTGCATCTGTGCAAGACCAGCCACTCTGCACGCTCTCTGCTGCCTGTTGGGACACAGTGAAGAACATAACAAAGTCAGTTCGTGTGACTGGCTTGTTTCACAACCTCCTTTGAATACTGTCAATCTGAGTACCTGAAATTGCATTAGCCAAAACACAGATATCTATAGACCTTTAAGTAATTTAATAGTCTATTGATCTCCTAGAGACACTTGCAGCTACGGACTAATGGGAAAAAGAATGAACATTCTCGTCTTAGACGTTTTAGATGGCAAAGATTGAAGTCCAACTAAAAAAAAATGTGGTTTAAGCAAATGTTATTTTTGAAAAATCACTTTCAGAGAGTAATTCGAAATGTGGAAAATTCTAAATAGAATACCATAAACCTCAGATGTGTTGGGTTTACATTTGCTTATCATACAATAGTAAAATGATTTTCGAAACATCTGTAATATAGTTTTAGTATACCTTAGTTAGAACATGGTATCAGCGAGGCTAAAGTTACAAGTTTGGAGATGCGAAGAAACAACTTTAAATTGCTATTTGAAAGATGTCCAATGTTCTTGATCTATATGGGTTAGTGTTCTTTAAATATGAAGTTCTATGCAACACCTGCTGTTTGGGCAGATACTATCTGGGCAGCTGCCTCAAAAATAAGTCTTGAGAAGGAATAATCGGTGGTACTTCTATGGTCTGTGTAGTTCTCCAGTGTAATACAGATTTTTCATCCAATATTTTATTATTTTAAATGATATATTTAAATATGTAAATAAATTCCATAGATTTAATTTAAATTAAATTTTAATTTTCATCTGAAATATTTCCTCTGGAAGCAGCTTGATATTCCTAGTTGGGTAATTTTAAAATTTTTTATTAAACCCAGATTAAATAGATTAATAGATTTAATTTAAATTTTAATAATTCTTTAAAATTACCTTACTAGGAATATCAGGCTGCTTCCAGAGGAAATATTCCAAAAACTACTGCAAACATCAGTATTCTCATTAAAGCCAGTAACAAGAAAAGGATTCTTCTTTGTGATACTATTCAAATTTTACTCAAGGCCTAGCCAATACAATGAAAAAAGAAAAAGAATATAAATGGAAAAGGAAAAGGCAAAATGCTGTATACAGAAGATATGATTATTTAAATAGACAATCCAAAAATATCTACAAATCAATTATTAAAATATTTTTTACATTCACTAATTTATTAAGAGCCCACTGCTTGCAAAACTCTATACCATGTGTTACAGAGTTGTCCTTTCATGATATTTGGCTAAAATTTGCTTCAGTCTAAAGGTTGTTTTCTTTTTAAATTTACTTGCTTTGTGATTTTTTAAACATTCATTTGCTTTCTCATTTTGCATTTATAAATCTAAAGACATAAAGGATAGAATTATTAATTCATAGCTGAAAAATTTAATGAGGTATTTATTCATTCTTGCAAAGTGAAATAGAGATAAAAGCATTTTGGGGTTAGGTGAGAATAAATAAAGTGTTACTAGCCACTTCAACTTTTTTGTAGAATGAGGTCTGTAAGTCGTCTGTTAAATTTAAAATTTAAAGTTGGATAAAGGAGAAAAGCACAAGTCTAAGTCATCTATAATCGTCAGGAACTGAGGGGGGAAAAGCTGAAAGTAAACTGTTAGTCAATCGATAGGTATTTACCTCATGTTTACTGTGTACTCAACACAGTGCTGATTTCTGTGGAGGATTCCAAACGTGTAAGACAGGAAGCTGCTCTCAAAAAGTGTGCAGGCTACACACATCAGGACCAACACACAAGAAACAAAGGCAAACCACAGAAGAGAGTATATCATTTGGTATTAAATTGTAATGGAACAGACTATATACTAAAGGGGAAGATTGGAGTTGGCTAAATTCTGTGAATGAAATTCTTGCAGGACTTGAGCTGGGCATTGACAAGTGGAGAACGTCTGCAGGCAGGAAAATAAAAGGGAAGACGTTCCAGGTGGGAAGATTAGTAACAACATTAGGAGGTAGAATTGAACATGATGAGTGCAGAAGTACAAGCAAGACAAGCTGGTATTAAAACATCAGAATATGTATTAAAAGTTTATTTTTCACATGACTTACTGAGTAAAATGGGGCAAGGGTGTACAAGGTCTTGATCTTCAGTCGTTGTGTATAAAAACTGACCTCCTTTCACTGTTGGTAACATGACAAGGTAGAAATGCAGTTTGTCGAAAACAGATTTTAGGAATATTAGTTGAGGTTGATGCATAGGATGCACTGGAGTTAGTAATGTGAAATAGGTAAAATAGCTCAAATGATTTCTTGGTAATTTATCCATGCGACGTGGAAAGCAGGGACCATGGTAGACCTGGTGGGAATACAGAATTCTCAGTGGTGTTTCTGATTGCTAGCAATACCCAGACATGATATAGTATCACCTGTGGAATTTGCCGTTAAAGCACATTGCAGAATAGTAGTGT